AGCGTCAGGTCACCGACGAGATGATGAAGAACCCTAAGCCCGAATGGGGCACTGACGTTCCCGACACCAAGGAGGCGTATGTTTTCCATCTTTTTTCTTCTCCATTTTGTAGTACTGTTGAAGACTAACCTGGGGTATAGATACTGGTACCGTACCATGTTCGATGAGCACTTCCCTCCTTACTGTGCCGGCACTGTCGAGCGCTGGACCCCTACCTGGTCCAAGCAGAGTGACCCCAGTGGAAGGTGAGTTATTCTTCTTTATTTGGTTCATCTTCTCTAACCATCCTTTGCAGAGCCATCGCCATCCACAACCAGAAGTATGACAAGTCGGAGTAAAAAGTCTTGAGAGTATAAAAAAAGGATCTGAACTTTTCTGATTAGCATTTTCTTTGGGGATATAGCACCGGATTAGATTGTACAAATACCCTTCTGGTATATTGTCGGTATAATGTTATGATCTCAATATTTTTCTTATGTATTTTCCTAAACACGTGATCTACCCTGACCAAACATTACCGGCGGGCTTTCCCGGCAGCCGGGCGACCGCCAATCACCGCCCTCCCACTAACCCGTGCTAAACCCCTAGGTTCCCCCCAACATCATCACAACTCTTCTTTCCCTTCCTCTCTCTTCATCTTTTCATAAAACCACCTCTTTCTCCTCCATCTCTAATTAGACTATTCTCGTCATCATGTCTGCCCCCGCTGCTTTCTCCGATATCGCCAAGGCGACCAACGATGTACGCACAACTGTTGGGAACAAAACTCAGAATCTTGGCTAATACTTCATCCCAATAGCTCCTGAACAAGGATTTCTACCACGGCGCTGCCGGTTTGTTTATCCACACCACTTATTGAAGATTCAATAGCTGATTACAAGGTTTTAGCCAACCTTGAGGTTAAGTCCAAGGCCCCCAACGGTGTCACCTTCACCGTTAAGGGCAAGTCTGCCCACGAGGGCCCCATTGCTGGCCAGGTTCGTTGAATATCTTCTCCAAATATACCACGCAAATTGCTAACTAGTGCGCCTACAGCTCGAGGCCAAATACGTTGATGCGCCCACTGGTAAAGGCCCCTTCCACAAAAAACCTCCCGATCCCGGCGCGCACAAATCCCGTACCATGCCATTGATGTTCGGATGTGGCATTCCACTCGCGCGCCGGGTGAACATTTTTATTTTTTCGGATGCAAAGGTGCACAGGATTAGGCTAATATGCTCACTCCGCCCAGGCCTCACCCTCACCCAGGCTTGGACCACCGCCAACGCTCTCGACACCAAGCTCGAGCTCGACAACAACATCGCCAAGGGCCTCAAGGCTGAGATCCTCACCCAGTACCAGCCCGCTAAGCAGTCCAAGGGTGCCAAGCTCAACCTGTACTTCAAGCAGCCCAACCTGAACGCCCGTGCCTTCTTCGATCTCCTCAACGGCCCATCCGCCAACTTCGACGCTGTTCTCGGCCACGAGGGCTTCCTCGTCGGTGCTGAGGGTGGTTACGATGTCAACAAGGCCGCCATCACCAAGTACTCCGCTGCCGTCGGTTACAGTGTTGCCCAGTACTCCGCTGCTATCACCGCCAGCAACAACCTTTCCCTCTTCTCCGCCAGCTACTACCACCGCGTCAACGCTCAGGTTGAGGCCGGTGCCAAGGCTTCTTGGGATTCCACCTCCGGCAACGCCGTCGGCCTCGAGGTCGCCAGCAAGTACCGCCTCGACCCCTCTTCCTTCGCCAAGGTTCGTTTTACGCGTCTCAAATTTTTACATGCCTGTTGTGAATCACGACTAATCGCGCAATTTTCCCGTAATATAGGCTAAGATCAACGACCGTGGTATTGCCGCTCTGGCTTACAACGTCCTGCTCCGCCCTGGTGTCACCCTCGGCCTCGGTGCCTCCTTCGATACCCAGAACCTGAACCAGGCTGCCCACAAGGTCGGCGCCAGCTTCACCTTCGAGGCTTAAGCGTCTGGATCTCAAGCCTTCCAGGAACCTGATGACCTACCATCTTTTGGGAAGATTTCTGTAAACTTCAGTTATTAGTTTACTTGTCTTTCTGATTCATTAGAACGATGATTATGGTGGGGGTTACGTCCAAGATAATAACCATGTATGTGTGTGTGTGTGTCGTAGATCTTTCTGCTCGATCACTTCTGTATATCAAATCCAACTGTTTCCTTTGTTGATCAATCCGATCGATTCATACGATCTAGCAAGAGTAGGAGTACATCAACCAGCAATGTATTTGAACTATGTATATACCAAGAAACTACACATATCCAAAGGTGTATATGTTCGAAACAGTAAGAGACAACTCCATCAAGAAGACAAAGTCTCCTTCTGCTTCCTCGTCTTCCTCCCATCAACAACTTTAGGAACCGCCCGCCAAATATCTACGACAACAAGCATAACAATCAAACACCCAGAACAAAGAAAGAACCTTGAAATCGTCTGATCAACCCCAGGCTCACGCTCAACTCGATCCTCATCGATCCTCCTAGCCCCCCTCCTCCTCTCCCTCCTCCTCCTATCTTCCGCCTCCTGCGTCCGGAAATGACCCCGAGCATTAAAATGATTCAACGGATTCCGATGAATAAACCCCTCCCAATCCTCCGGATCAGCATGTTTCGCCCCAGCACCAGCGCCAGCGCCGGCCCCGAACTCCGACCCCATCCCAGCACCAGCCGCGAAACCCTGCGCCTGTCTCCCTGTAGTACCATACCCACCCTGCTCATAGAAACTAGGCGGCGGACCATGGAACGCTGAGCGCCGCTTGCTCAGCCCGGTGGCAGGTCGCGAACCGGCGTAGCTGCTGTGGCTACCCATCGGGTGTTGGTGGCTGTGGCTTTGGCCTGGGGAGGCATGCTGCGTGACGTGGAAGCCGTGGTCGCGGTCGTAGACTGCGCGCTTTGAGACGTTGCCGAGGACATTGTAGGCGGCGGAAATGCGGGCGAAGCGTTGGCTTGCGTCTGGATCTGTGCGGTCGCGGTCTGGGTGGTGGCGCATTGAGAGGGCGTAGAATTGTCTAGGGATTGTGTAAGTATTAGAGATATATATACGGGATTGGAGGTGGAAGGGTGGAGGGGGGTCTGTTGGGTGTGGGTGTGGGTGTACTTCTTTATCTCCGCTGCTGACGCGGTTATAGGAATGTCGAGGATTTCGTAGAAGTTTGGTTCGCTGGCTCGGGCAGGGTTGCTGGTTGAGAAGAAGGATATGGTTGGTCTTGAGAGGTGCTGTGGTTGTTGTTGGCGTGGGAGTAATTGTGGTCGGAGGGGTTGGGTTGAGATGTTCCGGTAGGTTGAAGGGGAGGGGGGGAAGGTCGCGCGCGGAAGGAAGAGGATTGCTGTCACTCGAGATGGAGGCATTGTTGTATATTTAGAGGGTGTGGCATTGAAGTAAGTAGAGATATAAGATCCTGGGTAGGAGGTGGGGGGAGGGGTGGAAGAGAGAAAGAGAGAGAAGGGAGAAGCGGAAGAAGATCAGAGGTGAAGATCGGAGTGGCGTCACTGCGGTTCGAAGTTGATCGACTCTACAAGTTCACCGCGTGTTCATTATTGGCTATTGGTATACTCTAAAATATAGTATCAATCTATTTGGTCTCGAAATACCACATTTAATATAATTTACACTCACGTGGAGTTACAATTCCCATAGCTCCAGCTGATGATCAGATTAGATAAGAGATACTAGGTTATGCCATTTCGGGCATCAACCTTCCGGTGGACTGCTTGATCCAATGAGAACACTCCCTGGCTGGCTTGGGATACCCAAGGATCCACATATCGTGAGATTATAGTTTCTTCCATTTCAGAGGTCGTGTATGCTCTTCAGGAGCATGCACTAGGTGATATACTTCTCATTGCGGATGGTGGAATCGCTGACCGGAGGGGGTGTGCTGCAGCATTGGCTCTTGGAGTCCCTGGGTGGTTATGGTGCCCCAATTCCTCAGTGGTGAAAACACTTCCATTACTGGTTTTTCCCAAAATACTATCTTTGAGGCAGTTGATGGAGGTCAAGCGACGGCTGAATCGAGTGTATTGAGGGTCTGATGAGATCCGAAAACCTAATTTCCGGCCAAAAACTTACGATGGTCAGTGCCCTAGGAATGGGGTGATGGAATTGATATAAAGGAAGCACGGGGTTAGCTTTTTGGCGCCACAGATGGTCCAAATGCTGAGGATGTTGGTGTCAAGGATGTGTGAAGTATACCTTAAGCGCTTCGGGAATCGTGGTGAAGTCAACAAATATATGGCGCAACCCGGCAGGTAGAACAATCGTATCACACAGGTTTCCGATATTTCTCTTCGAAGCAATAGTCAGCGTCTCTGCACCTTGTTTATCCTTAAGTCTCTCATTCGTATCAAATTTCCAACCGCGCTTATAGCGCTGGGTGAGAGAACCCCAACATGTCAAAAGTCTCTGTCCTGAAACAGTCCCTAGATTGAGATTTTCATTGATGGAATTACATTATAACGATCGTGGGCAATTTCTTAGGCTTGAAAATCCGGTTGCGCCGAAATATTGTATACTTGGGGGCTTTGAGGGATCCCACTTAGGACAATATCTCCACTTTTCAAATTGAGCCGATCCTAAAGCGTCTGTTTGGAAACATACAATATAAAATAGCCGGGGGCTTTGTGTCTGCATGTATGCCTTTACTAGTGTCTATAAATAGACAATGGAACACCAAGTCTTCTTTTACACATATAGTTATTGTTATACCCTTTGTGACTAAATTTGGGTTCTGGATCAACGAGCTCCACACAAAGAACCAGGCGCCGACTTGAAACACTCGCTCTATTCAATATAAAATACGATGCAAAGCAGCTCCCCAGACAGTCTGTATAAATCCTCTCATACCCCACCGCTCGGATTGAGATCCTAGTAACCGCCTGGGATTCAAATCAAACAGCTCAACCTAAAGCGACAGACCGATTTGGTTCAATCTTTGGTCCTAAAACACGCATCCCTCTTCTTAATAATCGAAATTGAGCTACATTCAAACATGACAACTCTTTCAGAGCTTCCTAATGAGATGCTACTGGAGATTTCCGGTCACCTCGACTATCCAAATCTCAATGCATTCACACAGGTCAGCCGCCACTTCCATGCGTTGTCAAACAGGGGTCTTTACAGAGCTGTTGCCAAAGACACACCTGGGAAAGCGATAACATGGGCAGCTGAAAAAGGGAAGGAAACTAGTGCGCGGAAACTGTTGCAGATGTGCGGCTTGAAGATATTGGATGACCTCGCCTTTGAGGGCCAAGAACCAATAGTGATCGCTGCATCGAATGGACACACTAATCTTGTCGAATTATTTCTGCCCTATTGCATTCAACATAACACCAAAAAAGATAGAGAAGATCTATTTAAAAGAGCACTTACTGTTGCAATCCCAGAAAAGCATGTCGCAGTGGTCAAACTGCTCCTCGAACACAAGACTGATTTCAACACCAACCACGAAGACAGACATGCTACAATTCCTTTATGCAAAGCGGTCGAAATGGGACATGTATCGATTGTGAAAATTTTCCTTGAACACAATTACTGCAACCTCGATACATATGATCTTGATGGTATGACACCTATAGCTCTCGCTGCTGCTACGAAAGCCTCATCCGAAAATCTGGAAATTGCCCAACTCTTGGTAGAGGCTGGTGCAGATTTATGTAGAGATGATAACCTGTTACTCAAAGCCGCAAAATCAGATAACCTGCCAGTTATGAAGCTCTTCCTAGCGAACAACCTTTGTTGGCGCCGATTGGAATGGTCCGAAGTCTTACGTGAATTTTCCCAACCGAGCCGGAAAAACCACGAGATAGGGTCATTGCTACTAAGCTGGATTGATGTAGATCGCATATTGAAGATCAGTAACATTCAACGTTGCTATCTCTTGAGAGGAGCGATTGCCAATCGTCTTGACGATCTGTTGGAAAAGATATTGGATGAGTCGGCCGTCCTAGATGAAGACCATAAAGCAAACCGAAAAGGGATTCTTTTGTGTCCTTTGAGTCTGGCTGTCTGCTATGGCCGACCTAGGGCTGTCAAGCTCTTACTCGACCACGGCGCTGACCCTAGTGGTGAAGGCGACTGTCGACCAGTACAATTTGCTCTTGAAAAAGGGAAAGACACAATGACGAGGATGCTATTTGACAAAGGAGCGATATTTGATCCGGAAAATTGTCGTGGGTCGGCCGAATACCGTCAATTAATGAAGCTGCGTTTGGCTCGAGTGCAAAGGAAGCCTATTAATTAAGCATCATAGCAATCCATGTGATATGAAAATTGTATATAGGATCAAAACGAATATTTACTTCCTTAGTTTTCTGTGTTCTGGTAAAAGATCGGCCGCAGCTTCCGCGGTATCTCGATCTTTCGCCTGAGCCGCGAGAGCGAGGAGTGCACCGAAAGCTGCAGGCGGGTCTCTTCCATGGTTGTCATTATGAGGGTAAGTTGTCGTAGTGCATGTAACAATAGGTCTGGTAACATTTCGCCAAGGAAATCTCCAAGAACTCGCCTTATCTTATCAGCAAAAATCTTTCCCCGACATCCGATATTCCCCTCTTTTGCCTTTGAACATAACTTGTTTAATTGCCACATTCAAAATGGCAGCTCAGACTACGGAGAAGTTGGATCAGCTGGACCGTAAGATCCCCAAAATTTCTGTTTGCTTCTTTGTGTGACTGAACAGATACCAGTGAACGTCCAAGCCGCCCCCGCGGCAGACCACGTTCCCGCTGAAGCGGAGGAGGACTCGGACGACGCCCAAGACGGCGAGGGTGCCGCAGAGGCTGGAGCTGCTGGAGGTAAGTTTACTTGAGGCTTATTTCCGTGACTGCGCCTCTAGAACCCCACTGCACCCCCGCCCCACAGAGGTCGGCCGGATTGAACTAACAGCGGGGTCAACTCTAGCCGACAAAAAGAAGAAGAAGAAGAAGCCCAAGAAGAAGAGCAAGAAGAAGGGTGGTGCCAAGGTTCAGAGCGAGCCACCACGTGTCCCCGTGTCCAACCTCTTCCCCAACGGCCAATACCCCGAGGGCGAGATCGTCGAATACTTGAACGACAATGCGTACCGCACCACCAACGAAGAGAAACGATACCTTGATCGCATGAACAATGACTTCCTGCAAGAGTACCGCCAAGGTGCCGAGGTTCACCGTCAAGTCCGCCAGTATGCACAGAAGAACATCAAGCCAGGCCAGACTTTGACTGAGATCGCCGAGGGTATCGAGGATTCAGTGCGCGCTTTGACAGGTCACTCAGGTCTGGAGGAGGGTGATAACATCAAGGGTGGCATGGGATTCCCTTGCGGTCTGAGCATCAACCACTGCGCTGCGCATTATACCCCGAACGCGGGCAACAAAATGGTCCTGAATGAGGGAGACGTGATGAAGGTCGACTTCGGTGCGCAACTTAACGGCCGCATTGTGGACAGTGCTTTCACCATGACTTTTGACCCTGTATATGACCCTCTTCTCGCCGCTGTCAAGGACGCCACTAACACCGGTATCCGGGTAAGCTTTCCTACTTTCCTACTTTCCTTCGTTTCAAGCAGAGCTAATGGATTTCTAGGAAGCGGGAATTGACGTCCGTATGAGTGATATCGGTGCCGCCATTCAAGAAGCCATGGAGAGTTACGAAGTTGAGATCAATGGTACAATGCACCCCGTCAAGTGTATCCGCAACTTGAACGGTCACAACATTGACCAGCACGTCATCCACGGTGGCAAGAGTGTGCCTATTGTCAAGAGTACCGATCAGACCAAGATGGAGGAGGGTGAAGTTTTCGCCATTGAGACTTTCGGTAGTACCGGTAAAGGTTACGTGCGAGAGGAAGTAAGTTTTTACTGTAGTTACTAAACTGAGAACCGAGAACCAAAGCTAACATAACACTAGATGGAAACCTCGCACTACGCTCTCGCCTCCGACGCTCCTAACGTTCCCCTGCGTCTTTCCTCCGCTAAGAACTTGTTGAATCTGATCAACAAGAACTTTGGCACCCTTCCCTTCTGTCGCCGGTACATTGACCGCCTGGGTCAGGACAAGTACCTTTTGGGCGTAAGTTAACGGTCGAGTTTATTTGTGAGACACTGAAGCTAACGAATATAGTTGAACAACTTGGTTTCTTCTGGAATTGTCCAGGATTATCCCCCTCTTTGCGATATCAAGGGCTCATACACTGCCCAATATGAACATGTATGTTTCTATTTTGGGATTTTCTCCACTTGGGAGACCGTTTACTGACTTGTTTTTCTTAGACAATTGTGTTGCGCCCGAATGTGAAGGAGGTTATTAGTCGTGGCGACGACTACTGATGTATTTCATAGACATACGTAAACACTAAAAGCATCTTCCCAGGGTTTCCAAGATATCCCGAATTAGTAATGTCTTAAATAGATTGGAGAATCACCAAAAGCCCTGACATCAAAGCGCCGATCCTGCCAAGCCTCAAGCCATCAAGTATGCCGTGTCGCCCCACGTGGAACAACCGACTTCCGACTTTTAAATCAGCTCCTATCTCTCATGGCCTAAACCTCGACACATACCAATTTCCATCATGTCTGCGGTTGTTGAAACAAGTTCACCGCACCTCCGGGTGTCGGCAGCCAAAACATCCGACAAAACACAGCCAGAGTCCACTAGAATCCAGGCACCGGAGGCTTTAGTCGACGACCATTTCTTCTGGACATACACCGAAGAGCCGCATCGCTCAAGACGACAGGCAATTATCAAGGCCCATCCAGAGGTACGTAGCCCTGTTTTGCGGACCCTCATGGTAGCATAGGGGCTCGGCGAAGACTCCAATGCGGAGGTCTGCGGAGCTCCTACACCTGGCCACTTTCCTGGGCGACAGTCATAACAAATGGAATTCCAATGCTGATTCGTGAAATTATGTGTCTATAGGTCACTAAACTATGTGGCCCCGAGCCTCTTACCAAATGGGTCGTCCTCGGCGTTGTGTCCCTACAACTCACCTGTGCCTACCTCCTTCGCAACACCTCGATGCTCGATTGGCGGTTCCTGGCCACCGCATACGTGATCGGTGCGACTTGCAACCAGAACCTGTTCCTCGCTATTCATGAGATCTCACACAATCTGGCATTCCGGTCTGCTCTTGCCAACCGATTGCTTGCCATCTTCGCAAACCTCCCTATCGGACTGCCGTACAGCGCAGCATTCAGAGTACGTATACTCTTCCACATGCCATGCATAAGCCGGACCCCAAGAGAGACCATGAACTGACCAAATACCAACAGCCCTACCATCTGACGCACCACAAATCCCTCGGTGTCACAGGCCTCGACACTGACCTCCCCACAGCAATAGAAGCCTTCTTCCTAAACTCCCTTCTGGGCAAAACATTCTTCTGCACCTTCCAAATCCTCTTCTATGCCGTGCGCCCAATGTTCATTTACAGTCCCCCCTTCACATACATCCACCTCCTGAACCTCGGCGTGCAAATAAGCTTCGACTACGCCCTCAGCAAACTATGCGGCGGCATCCAGCCCGTGCTATACTTCCTGCTGAGCTCATTCCTCGCCGGATCCCTGCACCCCTGTGCAGGCCACTTCATCGCAGAGCACTACTTCTTTTCGAACGTGAAGAGCGGCGGCACAGAGTCCCTGGAGGAGCTAAAGAAGAACGAGAAGCCCAAGGTCCCCCACCCGCTTGACTCCCTGCCTCCCCCAGAGACATACTCGTACTACGGCCCGCTCAATATCCTCACCTACAATGTCGGGTTGCATAACGAGCACCATGATTTCCCTGCTATCCCCTGGACTCGATTGCATAAGCTGCATGAGATTGCGCGCGAGTTCTATGAGCCGTTGCCTTGCCATCGGAGCTGGGTTTGGGTTATTTACACTTTCATCTTGGATAAGGATGTTGGTCCGTGGTGTCGTGTCAAGCGCGAACAGGGTGGGCGGATTGTTGGTGGCGGGACGAAGCGCGGTGCTGATTCTACTGCGTCTAAGCAGTGGAATGGACGTGGCGGTGAGGGTATCTCGGCTGCGTCGGCGGGTCCGGCGGGCGAGGAGGGTGATGGGTGGAAGGAGAGTGAGATTCAATGTTAGATCTTGTTCGGCCTTGACGCCTGGTGTTGAATTTCAGCTTTTCAGTTACGTATATTATTGGGTGGAGTACTTGTATTTAGATATATTTGTTTACAATAAAATTGGCTTGTCATTTCCAGTGCGTGTGGGCGTAAAGCCATTTAAAGCGCAGAGACAGGAATGACTGCAATCAACCAATTACCGAAGGATGGAGGAGATGAAGTCCCCGACTATGTACGGCATGGACTTAGCTCTAATAGGAATCACATGAATTATCCCGAGCTCGAGAATGTTTTATGACACAAAGAGAAACGAATCGGGAGGCTGAGTCCATTCATCATAAAATGATATTAGACAAGACAGGATGGGGTAAAGAAACAAAAGAAAGCAACAGCAGAGAGGATGAGAAGGATAGACGCCTAGCCCCAAGGGGAGTTTAGAAGTCCAGAGCGACAATATGAAAGTAGAGTATTGATAGTCGTGTGAAAAACTTAAAAGCAAACGCAGAAAAAGGCTGATGCTAGAACAGATAGAAAACGGCATGCTCTTCAAGAAACAGAAAGTAGATGGGAATTTGGGAGAGGCGTCAGCGACGTTAGACCGGAGGCATTGAGCACGGGGAGAGGAGGCGCAATGAATCCAGATAGACCGTGAGAAAGCGACAAACAGAAGACGAGCTTAGAAGAAGAAGTATGCGATCAAGAAGCTGAGCAAGCAGAGGCATGCTACACCCTGGATCGAAACTCCACTGGCCGTTGGCGCATGTGACTGCTGCAGGTTGACAGGCACAGCCTTGTCGGTAGCCTCTCCGCCGGTCTTCCGCTGCCGCAGTCCTTGGTCTGCGAGTCGTTCCTTCAGTCTCTGGATCTGTGCGTTGGCTTCAGACAGCTGGGACTTGAGTTCATCGCCCGAGGGGAGAGCGTTGCCGACGGTGGACTTGGCGTTTGAAATGGCGGGTGCAGGCTCGTGCTGGGGAGACTGGGACTTCTTCTCAGAGAAATCAGGAGCAGGGATTGGAGATGCTTCGTCGGAGTCGATCTTTTTGGGGGCCGGGGTCTGGAAGTTTGCGCCGGCAGGAGACATGTACGCTGGAGGTTCCTCATTTTGCACCTAGAGAAAGTTAGACCTTGTGTGGGGAGAAATGATTGCCGAGGAGCATACCGAGTCGTTGGGAGTGGCATCTGTTGCTAGGAAGACAACACGA